CGGCGGCATACACCGCCGGATTTTCAACGGATAACCACCGGAAGCCGTCGGTAACCACCGGTAATAGGCATTTTTCCTGTAGTGTCAAGTATTATTATTACTTTGTTCATTCTTTACTAAATTTTGTATTTATTTTAATTAATTAATTACTATTGATATTGTGATGGGCTGGGAGAGAAGTATATTAAACTAGTTATGCTCATCCTATGATGTTTTCTGATATTTCAGGAAAAGGCAAAGGTCTAGCAGAGTAAAAAGGGTAAAAGATGTCTCTTTTGAATCTTTGTTGCTACAGTACTATTTTGAAATTTGGTGTTTAATTATTTTAATGTGAAGAACTTCTTTAGTTGAATTAGTACACATTTGTTTTAATGAAATGGGATATGTTTAGTTATTTTTATTATTTTGATTTTATAATGGTTATGGTTGTTTATGTTGATGGTTGGGTTGTAATATATAATAGGTTTAGGATTTTCAATTCTTTCATTAGATCCTAGAGTGTCACATAATCTTTTCAAGATTTTAACCAACAGCAATTGATCTTTATATTCAGATCATTAGCTTCAAGACACTCTTTAACTGAATTGCTTTAAACTACACTCAAACCACCCTCTACTTTTTTCATTGCCTTTAATGCATATTTTTTGAGAAATGGAACATGGAATTTATCGGATATCATACCTAGCCTACTATGTGACAAAATTACTCTTATGTAGATGTTCGATGAAAGTACCGAGAATGTTATAAGGATGGGTAAAATGAAACCTGCTATCAAACACTTTATTTAAGCTCAATTTCATAATGATGCTAATGTGACGTGGTAAATTTAGCATCCCAAACAAAGTTATTACCACTAGCAAAGTTATTACTACTAGCAAAGCTAGCACAAAGATCGGCTAACTTATTACAATCCCCATTCACAAAACTAAAAATAGCATGATTAAACTCTTTAAGAAAAGCAACCTCTTCCATCTCCTTGCCAACCATCAGACCACCTGGCTTCTTAACCAAGCTGCGAAGGAAATTGATAGCATTAGCATTGTTACCTTCAATAAGAATTCCTTCATAATCCAACATCCAATATTGCATAATCACCTTCAATGATTGAATTGCTAAGAGCTCTAGCCGAGATACATCCCAATGGACGTCATTGAATCCAAAAGTCAACAAAAACCTTCCTTTATTATCCTTGAGAACGCCTTCAACAGAGGCCTCATATGATAGAAGTAGGGAAGCATCCACATTCACTTTAATCCAATCGGGTGGAAGAGGGTGCCAACAATTCATTAACAACCTATCCGGCTGATTAACACCCTAGAAGCCCGACTTTACAAGACCATCTCCAATAACAGAACTAACAGTGTTGGTTGCAATATATAAGCAACTATCTTCAGTACCACCATAAACCCGTTTACATCTAGAATTCCATGAAAGGAAAATAGCAATGCAATAAAGTTTAACCAAAAAACAATCCTTAGAAGCACATCTTTCCAACCATAAGCAGCATTCATCTAAAGAACCAAAAATTGGAAAAGAATAAATAGAGGTTGTAATGAATAAGACAGAATATGAGCTGCTAATGCTACTTGATTAGGAACCTTTTTTTAAATGCATAAAAAAATTCCTAGCTTTCCAATTATGACAAACCGAAGATAAATAAACTCTAACAGCTCCAGGATTTGTTGTTGCCAGCTTTTCTAAATTGTTCAAGCAATGAGACAAATTGCTAAATTTAGGAAGGTGAATACCCCATTGATTCAGCATATGAAAGATTTCATTCAGCTTTTTACATTGAACAGCAATATGATTAACATCTTCAACATCCAAATGACCTCTCGGACAGAAAACAGAGCCTTGGAATTTTCTGTGATTCAACCAAAATTAGTTGGTAATGCATCATTTATCAACCTCCATCAAAATAAAGCTTTCTTAGGAGTTAATTTTAACTTCCTAATCCACTTGACATTTATTGCATCTAAATTGCGAAAAGAAGACGCCTGAAATGCTAGTGCTGTAATAGATTTCCCAGAATTAACATTTAATAGCTCAAGTTGATCTTCATTTGAATCAGAAAGAATCGGGGTTTCAGAAATAATCAGAAAGAATCTGTTTCTTTAGTTGGACATCGAGGAAATGCTTTTTGTCATCACCTTTATATGTTATGATCAATATTCATCCTTCGTACAGTCTCACTGGCAACCAATTTGATTTTTGCTGTGCTTTTTTCTGATTCTTTTACATATAAGTGGTTTATTTGTGCTTTCTGAGCCTAGCAATCATTTGCTTTTCATCTTTTTTTTTACTATTTCTCCTACTTTTGAATATGGAATGTAATCTTTCTTTATGAGACACAGCTCACTTTGACATGTTGGTTGAGAGCCTATGCTTCCAACTAAGAGGTCTTGAGTTCGAGTCTTTGTGTATGCGTTATGTGTGTGAGTTTATCTTAAATAGCTTAAATGTCCCAAAAAAAAAAAATCTTTCTTTATGAGCATTTTTATAATTTTGTTGCAACTCCTCAATCATCTTCTGTATCATGTTTGAGTTGTTCGACCTTTTTTAATTAAACATTATAGTAATGAAATCGGACCAGACACTAATTTCTTTCCAAAAAAAATATATTATTTTTTTATTCTCAATAAGTTATTAAATATATAATAAATCTGACTGTACTTTATGTAAACATTAATCTATTTGTCAATTTTAAATAGTTGAAAGTTTTTTTTTTATTGTAGGGGGACATTTAGGTCAATTAAGGCAGATTTATACACACATCACATAGACAATACTCGAACCCAAGATCTCTTAGTCGGTAGCCTAAGCTCCCAACCAACAAATCAAGATGAATTGTGTGTGAATGTTAGTTTTCAAAATAAAATCGATTGAATTGGTTTTAGGTTGTAAAACATCTCGAGCTGATTGTACTTAATTTAAAAATGTATTGCAAGTACATAATTTTAATATAATTATGACTGTTTGAACAATTGTACGTAATCATGCATGTGTATGAATTGCACCTAACTTATTATTAATATATTTTGATCGTACTTAAACTATGTATTTAAGTGCATTCATATATTTTGATCGTACTTAAACTATGTATTTAAGTGCATTGAATGCTAATAACTGATACTAATAAATGCTAATGAAAGTAAAAAATAACATACATTTTCTTATACCGCTTTACAATTTATATTAACGTTGCATTAATTTTCTTTCCATTACCTTTTGTTATCATATTTAATATGAAATCTTGACAATAATATGGTTAGAACTATGCTGCATGACACAATAATGCAATTACCATTTCAGCAAAAAACAAAAATGACAAGGAACGGACAACTAGCATTCCAACATGAAACAAAAATAACGAGTAACATATTTCCAAAAAAAATTACAATAAGGTCTACAATTTTTTTATAATTTAAATATTTAAATATTACTAAATAAATCTAAAAAATTAAGTGACCAATGTATGAATACATAAAATTTTATACGTTTATAAATACCTCTAAACATAATCTTGAAGAGGGTAAATACTAGCAAGATATCCAACAAAATACAAAACAATTTTACATAAACTGCTACCAAACTACTACTTTTATACTTTTATCAAAGTATCAAAAAAATAATAAAATAAAACAAACTACAACACCAAAAACAAATTCGCGCAATGGATTCTTTAGCTGTCTTGGCCGAGCTTTGATCGACTTATTAGGCTTAGGCTTCATGAGAGCAGCTCTCTTTACTTATCATGCTCATAACCTTCACCATCATCACCATCATCGTTTTCTTTACACTCATTACAATAGTGCAATTATAAATACATAAAAATAAGCATTAAACATGCTGCCCCCTGCCCCCCTCTTTAATGGCCTGCACAACCCTGTCATTCTTCCTTAAATGAAGTATATTTTCTTAAAGAATAGTAATTTATCTCATATTTTTAGTAGATAAGATCAAAATCAGTATAATTTGGGGAGATAGGTATTAAACTAATTATAGATATATGGTTGGCAAAAGACTAAAAGCATATATCAAATCATGTGAAACTAAAATGATTTTATCATTTTTCTGTCCACTGAAATTAATAAATAAAGTTTAAAATTAAAATTAAAAAATATATTGATTGAGTCGAAGCCCATTTATTTATAAGAAGTAAGATTGAAATACCAAATATGATTAAATAGTGTTGATGAATTTTGACAGTCTATCTCTTTCTCTTGATAAGGTAGGTTGTTTTAATGTATGGGCAAATCTATAATTGGGGCACTAAGGGTCATCCCCCCACTTGTTAACCCAACTTTGCTAGCACTCAACTTATGCAATCCTAGTTTATTGTCACCTAAGATGTGTTTGGAGTCTTGAGGTTTTATGAAAAATATGTTGAATTTAACTTGTAATAGTATTAATGAAGTGAGTAGAAATGTTTAATTTGTGTGTGTGTGTGTGTGTGTGTGTGTGTGAGAGAGAGAGAGAGAGAGAGAGAGAGAGAGAGAGAGAGAGAGGTATGATATATTAAGATATGTTTGAGAAGCTCTAGGATCCTGGAGTGTACCTGTAAAACAGAGAGAAAAGCATATGGAGAAGGAAACAGAGAGAAATAGTGATTGCAATGTTTTCCATTTGTATTCATTTCATAGACTTGAGTTCAGCTACAGTGCGTATTTAAAGCGATGAAGCTGAGCTGGCATTCCGTTAGAAAAGGTCTTTTGTGGTGAGTAGTGGAGGACCAGTGGTCTGATTGATGACAGAGAGCATGATGATAATTCCATGTGCTTAACAGTCCCCCTTAAACTGAGGATCCTTGGGAAGGATCGTGAGTTTGTTGCGTAGATAGGAGAACCGAGTGATCGGTAGGGACTTTGTGAGAATATCCGCGGGCTGTTGCTCAAATTTAATGTGATGAATGGCGATCTCCTTTGCTTGGATGTGATGACTAATAAAATGATAGTCAATCTCTATGTGCTTGGTGCGATCATGGAATACCATATTTTTTGCTATGGCGCGGAGAGGTTGTCGCAGTGTATATGGGCTGGCTGAGACTGGGAGATATGGAATTCAGCTAGTAAGTGACGGAGCCAGAGAGTGTCGGATGTGGCGGAGGCGAGCGCCCTGTATTCCGCCTCTGTAGATGATCTAGCCATGGTGATTTGCTTTTTCACACACCAAGAGATGAGATTCGCTCCAAGGTACGAACAGAATCCGGTGATCGATTTCCAATCAGAGTGATCGAAGGCCCAGTCGGCATCGATGTAGGTGTTTAAGGTTGGTTCGGAAGGAATGATCGGGAGACCATAATGAAGTGTCCCTTGCACGTATCGGAGAAGACGTTTTAACGCCTGAAAATAGACTATTGATGGATCGTGCATTTGTTGGCAGATTTGATTTGTGGAAAACGCGATGTTTGGACGAGTAATATTCATATACTGTAGAGAGACCGCAAGCTATTTGTACAGAGAGGGATTCTCCATTGGAGGAGCGGGAAGGAGCGCCCGAGATACTTTTAGTGTAATAGGTGTGGGAGCAGGTTTGCAGGTGGCAAAGCCACTCGCTTGAAGTATGTCTATGGCGTAGTTGGATTGATCGAGTAAGTATCCTTGAGGAGTTTTGGTGATTCGGATGCCAAGAAACAGGGATACTAGACCCAAATTCTTGATGGAGAAGGCTGAGCGTAGACTGTGTATTAAGGTGTTGACCGAGGTGGTATTGGAACCAGTAATGAGCATGTCGTCGACGTAGATTAGGATGTATGTGTGAGTATTGCCCTTATTGTACACCAGGAGAGCTGGATCAGATTTACTGAATGTAAAACCGATCGATTGGAGATGAGCGATGAGCTTGGTGTACCATTATCAAGGGGATTGCTTGAAGCCGTAGATGTCTTTGTGTAGGCGACAGACATGGTTGGGGTATCGAGTGTCGATGAACCTGGGTGGCTGTTTCATGTAGACTGCCTCGTCCAGATCCCCATGGAGAAAAGCATTGGAGACGTCTAGTTGAGTGACTGACCAGTTGCGTTGGAGAGTGACGGCGAGGAGTATGCGTATGGTCGGTAGCTTGGCTACTGGACTGAAGGTTTCTTTGTAGTCTATCCCATATTTTTGGTCGAAACCTTTGGCGACGAGGCACGCTTTGTGACGCTCCAATTGACAGTTTGCATTGAATTTGATTTTGTAAGTCCAACGGCAGCCAAGTACTGGATGTTTTGGAGGGGGAGGAACTAGAGACCACGTCTGTTGTTGATGAAGGGCTCGTATCTCTTTGCGTATGGCAGCATGCCAGGATTGATATTTGTTGGCTTCAAGGAATGAGATGGGCGTGACGGTATTGACATTTATGGCTAAGAGATCGAAATGATGCTTGGGTTTGATGATTCCAGATTTTGAACGAGTTTGCATAGTGTGTGTGGAGGCTGGAGGAGGTGGTATGAGCTGTTCGGAGAAGCTGGGGTTGATCTCGGTAGGAAGTGTTGGTTCTGTGGGATCTGGAGGTGGGAGAGTTTGGGGTGAGTTAATTTGGGTGGACATAGGGGATGTGGTTGTGTTGAGGGGAAGAGTTGATACAGGAAGTAAGGTAAGAGGTAAGGTACTTGTGGAACGGGGTGGAATTGTTGATGACACATGATGGTGATGATAGGGAAAATGGTGTTCGTGAAACACCACGTGACGGGAGATGTGGATTTTCTTGGTTGAGAGTTCCAGGCATCGGTAGCCTTTGTGGGTGGAAGAGTAGCCGATGAAGATGCATTCACGGGAGCGAGGGGCGAGTTTGTTGGGAGCTTGATGCCGAAGCCAGGGAAAGCATAGACATCCAAAGCTGCATAAATGAGTGTAGGAGGGTTTGGTATGGTAGAATATTTGAAAGGGGATTTGAAGGTGCAAAGCTTTGGACGGCAGACGATTGATTAGTTAGTTGGCCGTGAGAAGTGCGTCTACCCAAAATGCATCCAGGAGGTTGGCCGCCAATAGCAAGGTTCGAGTAATGTCGAGTAAGTGACGATGTTTACGTTCAGCTAAGACGTTCTGTTCGGGGGTATGTGGGCAGCTGAATTGATGAATGACGCCGATTTGGTTAAGAAAGGAATGAAGAGCATTGCTGGTGTATTCTCCGCCGCCGTCGGAGCGAAGAATTTTAAAAGTATTTGTGAATTGATTTTGTACCATTTTAGTAAATTGTTGCAATTTAGAGAGAACTTCATCTTTGGTATTCATTAGGTATAACCAGCAAAAGCGTGTGTGATCATCAATGAAAATAAGGTAGTATTTATAACCAGCGCGAGAAGTGATAGGAGTCGGCCCCCATACATCTGTATGGATAATTTGTAGAGGAGTCGTTACATGACTAGAAGCATAGAAGGGTACTCTATGACTCTTGGCCATATTACAAAACTTGCATATACTAGAAGGAGAAGGATTACATATGCTAGAATCTAATTTAGCTAAAGTTCGCTGGATAAGTGAGTGGGGATGGCCGAGTCGAGCGTGCCACGATGGAGTTGAAGTGTGGTCGGAACGGAACGCATAGTGAGTAGGGGAGGATCCGACGGCAAGTGGCTAGTGGTCGTTGTGGCAGCTGCCATGAATGAGGATTTGGTTGTCCTGTAGGTCCTTGATTTGAAAATTGGACGCGTCGAATGAGATAGAGCAGTGATTATCGGAGGTTAGTCGATGGATAGAGAGTAAATTGTGAGAAATGGATGGTACGTGAAGTAAGTTTCGGAGAAGGAGCTTACGATTGGAGGGTGGGAGTGGAAGAATACCGTCACCGGAGCTTTGGATGGGGAGGGTGCTGCCATTTGCGATGGAAATGGAGTCCGTGCCTTGGTAGGGAAGGCATTGCTGGATTTGAGTAGCATCAGATGTCATATGGGACGAGGCGCCTGAATCAAGCATCCATTCCGTGGTCGAATTGGTCGCGGGTTGACTGAACATTGCTCGCGGTGGTGGGCTGTATAGTTGAGGTTACATCTATGCCAGCAAATCGCAGCTATGTGGCCAGGTTTGTTACAAATTTGGCAGGTAGGACGGCTATTGCTGGAATGGGTTGGAGCTGAATTTGCAATTGTGTTGTTAGAGTTTATGTTGTATCCACGGCCTCTAGTTGAACGGTTGGGTTGGGAGGAGCTCCCTCTTCCGCGATTTGAGCGATAGTTTGTATAAAAAGCAGCATTGTCCTTAGAGATTGACGTATCTCTCAGAATTTGAGTCTAGATATTGATCTCTTCGAAGATCAGCAGTGAGTATAAGATCTCTAAGCTGATGGGGTTTTGACATGTTCTGATTGAAGTTTTAAAAAAGTTGTAGGCTGCAGGGAGTCCGTTTAGGATGTAGTGAAGGATGTCTTCGGTTTTGACTTTGGATCATGCCGCGGCTATGTTATCCACAATGCCCTTTACTTGAGCCAAGTACTGTTGCATTGAACTGTCTCCCATGTTTACGTTGTGCAGTTCGTTTTTAAGCTGGATCACCCGGGATCGGTTGGTAGGCTGAAGGCGTCCTTCGAGTGTCTTCCAGATTTCATGGGCTGTGGTTAGATTCAATATATAGGGTAATATGGCAGGGGAAATAGTAGAGAAGAGTACCGAAACCAGGTTTTGGTCCACAAGTTTCCACAAGCGGAAATCGATTGAGGATTCGTCAGCGGGAGGCATCTGAGATCCGGTGAGGTATCCCTCGAATCCGTTGGTGGAGAAGAGCTTTAGAGTCAGCAATCTCCAAATAGCGTAGTTCTCATTGTTGAGTTGAATGGTAACTTTTTGCTTAATGTTGGAGACTAGAAACTTAAGGGGAGAGGGAATGGTGAACTCTGCCATTGAGGCCGACAGAGAATAGGTTGTGGTCTGAGCGATCGAGCTCTGGTTCTCAGACATGGCCAGAGAGTCTTTCCGCTGCAAGGCTTCAAGGCTCTGATACCATGAGAAGCTCTAGGATCCTGGAGTGTACCTGTAAAACAGAGAGAAAAGCATATGGAGAAGGAAACAGAGAGAAACAGTGATTGTAAGGTTTTCCATTTGTATTCATTTCATAGACTTGAGTTCAGCTACAGTGCGTATTTAAAGAGACATAGCTGAGCTGGCATTCCGTTAGAAAAGGTCTTCTGTGGTGAGTAGTGGAGGACCAGTGGTATGACTGATGGCAGAGAGCATGATGATAATTCCATGTGCTTAACAATGTTTTGATTAAAATTGTTGAATCAAAATTTGATCGTGGATGACATCCGACCATACTGGCAAACTGTTAGGGATGGAAAATTTGAGTGAGTGTAAGTAGGCTAATGAGCACAAAGAATTTGAGAAAAATTATAGTATCTCACACAACTATAAAAGATCATTGAAAAGTAGGAAAATATCCGGGAAAAATGATTCGAAATATTCATCCTTACCATTTATTTGTGGGGTCAAGTAGGAAAGGAAATATTGCACTTAGAAGAAAAATATAAAAAATAGTGCATGATGTGATTGTTACAAATTGACATTTAGCCATTCAATTAATATTTTGATGTTTTCAACTATGTTTAAGATCTTTGATTTGGGCCCATTTTAGCTCGTATTGTATTAATTTTGGTGTCGTTGGGTTCTTCTTGTTGAGATGTTTAATTAGACCATAAATTTGCTGAAATCAAAATCCAAGTGATCAGACATTTAATTTTGGAACTTTTTATTTGAATATGTCTTGAAATTCATGCACATTGAGGTGATTTATGGGGACATATAAAATATTGAATGTATTTTAAATCAATCAATCTACATCCCATTAACAAAATGTTCGGCTCTACCAATTCTATAAAAATAAATAGATTTATGGCTTTCAAGTTGGAGAATTTGCAATAACATTCAGTCCTTTGGAAGGCAATTTTTAATGCAGACGCAAGCATAGGGACACTTATTATCGATCCCCTCTTTCTTCTGCTCTATTGATTCTGTAGTTTTAACTCAGATGTTTTATACCTTTGCCGAATTTTAATTAGAATTTTGTTGAAATGGGGTCAGTATCCAATATTTTTCTTCTGCTATATTCCATTCTACCTCTATTTTCTCATTTCTTTGTATCTTTTAATTTACAAAAAATAAATAATTATTTTATCTTTAAAGAGATTATGTTTAATTATTAATTACTTAGCTTAACATAACTAAAAAAAATTTTTTAATGTTTAATTTTGATGATTTTAACATAACTAAAAATTGATTTATAATATTATAAATATTATTTGTTATAATTCAATTGCTCAATCTAATAAAAATAATATAATTATAAGGTAATTAAATTGTAGATTTTTACCAGACCAAATGTGGTAATTAATTTTAATATTAATGATTATAGCTAGACAATGGTTAGAAATTAATAAGTTAAAGAGGCCATATATATGACTG